GTAGTTAAGCATTTATGTATACAGAGGTTTTTGCCATTGCATTTACTCTTAGCTTAGTCTCTTCAGAGAGAATTTCATTCAGAGTGTCTTCCATCATGGACAATTTCATTGAAGAGAATCTCGTTGTACAGATTCAGTTTAAAAAGTTTCAACATCATTCATTACCAAAAGATCATTTAAAGAGAATTTTCTTTATGGTGCCTCGTTAAAGTGAATTGCCTCAAATAGTACTTGACGGAAGATTTCATTCAAAATAATTTCAAACAATTTTTGTTATAGAGATTTCGTTTGTAAAAGTGTCTATGTAGAATTTTTCGTCAAGACATACTTTTTATGGGGTGCTTCTCCCATATGCTGTTGTAGGACTTTTTGAAAAAAAAAGTTTTGGGTATTTCATTCCCACCAGCCAGTAATGCTGGTGGGCGGGCAGTCCCTCCGGACTATGCCGGAAGGTAGGGGGCGGAAGGCCCTCTTCAGCCTCCTTTCAGGAATCGTGGGAATGGGTGGATGGTGGTTCGGGTGAGAAAGTTGAGACGGACGAAATGAAGACAGAAGAGAATGAAAGATTATCTGTGGAATATTACTGCCCCAGTATTCGCCTAAATGATCCAAGGAAACCACAGAAAAACATAGACCAAGGCAGACAGACCCGGAATCGAATCGGCGTCCTCCCGAATGCTAAGCAATAGTCTAGACCTCTAGGCCATGCCGCTCGGTGTGGGGTTTTTGGTTAATTCTCACAATATATACTTCATTTACTTTCTCTAGCGAAGTACTCCTTCCAATGTCTTGGATGCGCGCTGGCAACATCGTAGGTAAGGAGAAAAAAGCTCATTATACTCTCGACTCTTGTTCATTGAACATACTTTTTCATACAGTATCTGTCAAAAGTTTTATTCAATCATCAAAAGTAATGCGAGTCGAAAACAAGCGTTAAAGCCTTTAATATGTCTTCAAATATAAAGAAACATCTCGTTGATATTTTCAGTAGTAAATGGTACCAATAACAGCACATTTGAGCAATGCAATTGTAGTGGATAAAATGTTCAATTTTTCCGTGCAGTACTGTACGGATTATACGCTCCTCATCGATTAAGAGTTTGGCCGAGAGTTATCTCCTTCCTTTTCTGGCCTAGTGCTGTTCTTTTCTACTTTGCGCCGGTCAAACTGAAGGTCACATCGCTACAGAAAGTAAACGAAGTATACCTAACTACTGAAAAGCCGAGTGCAAAATTTTCGTTCTCGCCCAAAAAAATAAAATTCCGACCACATCTAAGAACCTATAACACAAAAAATTTGTCAAGTTAAGACATTAATTTGTTCGGTTGAATTTCTGTATGACGTAGAGACTTGACGCGATACCGTTTCGGTCTTAAAATTTTAAGCGTTCCGCTCGTTGTTTTCATGATTTATTAAACGTTTCGGAAGCGGAACGTAAACTGAAGCAGAAGAGTTAGTTAACTTGTTTCCGCGACATTCGCTTCAGGAGCATCCCGTTGTGCTGTTCCCTGTTTTTCGTTTAATGCAAAACGTGCATAACTGTTCATGTTCATTCGCATAAATTCAAGTAAATAGCGCACAACGGGGAGATATTCATTTCTAGGCAAATAATACGACGTTTCTAACACGCTGTTACGTTTCTGTTACCAAATATGACACCTGTTTAAAACTTTCTGGCAGGTGATATGCGTGCGGTTTCAGATATCCGATGAGTAGATACAGTAAATCGTAATAAATGAAAGCAACAGGCAGTACATTGCCATCTATTGTCATACTTACTGTTAACAGAAGCATTTCAAATATTTCGCAAATCTATTTACTTGACGAACTGAATCTAATTAGACGCACCTGTAAGTATATATATGAGTGTTTCCATGAAAATAGGGCAACTCTATGATGCAATTAGTCTTTACTATTTTGACGTGACAACGTCTTATAATTCGATGGAGCCGGCTGCANTAATTATTTTGATATAAATTTCGCTTGGTAAATTAAAACAGCTTTCAACCAAAAAATGCGACACACAAAAACTCCTTTCTAAGTCATATTCAGCTTTTAAGGTCCCTGATTCTGACATTAGCAAATAAATTGTAGGTAGATTTTCTTGAGAACCCTCAGGACAACAGCGCAGCGCGAGATTTCGTTTCAATTTTTTAATATTCCCATTATTCGTACGTACTTTATTCTCCACCGGGGCCGTTCTTAAAATGTCCTCTGGCATTTTTTCTTTGACTCGAAATTAAATCAACTCAAAAACTTTCATCAAAATTTTAATTACTTTTCTCCAACTGAAATGTCGAAGTTTCCAGTAGATGAAAAATTCACCGTTGAGACGGAAATAGAACCAATTCACGGAACCAAAAATATTTAACACCGATCCGCAACAATCTCAGACACGCATTGTAATTGTTACTTAATTGCCCAAAATTGATACACAAATAGACGAAATCTTATTCATCAATCCCAATTCCAATTCTACATCCATTTAGAATGGTTGGACACGCACCTCCACTTTCTCCTATCCTGAGGTAAAATTCTCATTTCCCTAAATCTAGAACATCCCACAATCCTTGACTAACAGAGGTACCTCCACTTCTCTTAACTCCTGTTTCTGCTTGCAGTATGTTTAGCCCTTCATGTCTGAGAAGGTGTTTTACCAACTTATCTCGCCTATTTCTTATTTACTTCCATAAGACCCTCTATACTCCAACTCTTTCTATACCATATTTCGAACGCATCTAACCATTTCTTTTCCGCCACGCCTTTCGTCCACGTTTCGCACCCGTACAGAACCGTGCTTAGGCATAGACCATTAACAATCTTGTCAAAACTGACTGTATATGTCTACTGCTCGGTCCATCCTGAATTATATAACTTCTTTTAATTTTTCGTTTCCTATCTTTGTATACATACTTAAAATAATGGACAAGATAGGGTAATCTTGTCCATTAACTATTTAATGTTCTTTAGCAATTTTTATAAAATACATCGAAAGAGCAAAAAGAAAAGAAAACTTGCTAAACGATATAATTAAATATACGATAAAATAAAAAAAAACCGTTTCTTAAAAAGTATTTATAAGAGACTGAACCTGAACGAGTTCCTGTCACGTCATAAAACGCTTCATTGCACCTTTTGATAGCGCGGTGATAAGAACGAATCATTTTAAACGACGATTCTTGGGGAAAATTGATTTGTCAGCTACTGCTCTCTACACGACAGGGATTCCTTTACGAAAAGTAGAAATGAACAGTAAAGGCTGACGAATATGTGAGACCGAAGAAGTCCCATGCCTGCAGGCAAACGCGAAAACGTCCAACATTATTTTTTATTATCGGTTCCACTTGAGCGACAAGTCCAATCAATGAAGAAAATAATGAATAGTGAAGAAAATTGACTCTGAAAGCCATCGATTCACTCGACTGTCAAAAAGACCGGATTTCAGTTGCGTACATTGTCCGGGCAATGTCGAAAATTTTTGTGACGGATTGTGTACAGAAAGAATAGGAGAACAGAAGACTCTATGGAAGTCAATAAAAAATAGGCGAGATAGGTTGGTACGACACCTTATCAGACATGAAGGTCTAGTCAGAGACATATTAGAGGCAGAAACAGGAGTTAGGAGGGGTAGAGGTAGACCTAGATTAGATTACTGTTCGCAAATAGTTAAGGATGTGGGTTGTTCTAGTTTTAGGGAAATGCGAAGTTTAGCTCAGGATAGGAAAGAATGGAGGTACGTGTCCAACCAGTCTTAGGACTGGCGACCTTATGATGATGATGATGTGTACAATCACTAATAATAATGCCTTTAGAGATCCATATGCCAAACAGATAAATAATACTACAAGCATCTATTTACATATGTACTATTGTTTTAACAAGTATAAACAATGTCTTCTTAAAAGGGTGCAAAGTTTATATAGCGCACAACCTAATTCTGACTAAATATACCTAACTATAGTGAAGTCAAGTCACTCGATTGTCACAAAAAGGTTTGAATCCGTTTACCTAAAATGTTACAATAAATAAAGTACAGAAATATTTATATTCAATACAGTAAGAAATCAAGCTACGTATGGGGCCGGGGTTTCTTATTTATATGCATATGAGACCAACAACTTACGTTAGCCTCAAATATGATGCATCTTCAGGGTTAGGTTTCTAAGTTATAAATTGTGTATGTCCAAGGTTGCGGTAATTTTGTCGTGGAATATAGTACGGTAAAACATTGGTTTATGTATAACAAATTATAATAAGTAATTAAAATCACAATGAGATAATAAATAGTTAGAAAGTAAAACCACTTAAAATAACACGAAGTATAACTTATTTTTTTATCTATGTTTTTATTTATAACTTAGAAATCTAACTCTGAAGATTCCTCATAATTGAGGCGAAACGTAGGTTGGTCTCATATAAATAAAAAACCTATGCCCCATACGTAACTTGATTTCTTACTGTATACAATTGTTGGGGAACAAATGGCAACAAAATTTTTACCAATTTGCGATTCTACATTGCCAGGGCAATGTCTATATTGTTGAACACAACTCCCAACAAAATCCGCAGAAATCACATATTACCACTGTATATATATCGACAGATTGTGTACAATTATTGTTAACAATTCCTCTGAATCATTATCAACCAAGATATAGAATCCAGTTATCTTTTTGACAGTAAGTACATACAGTGTCTACTTAATGTAGGGAAATATTATTAAAAAGTGCTGCCAAACGTTAAACACACAAATTGTATAAACTTTGTCAAACTACATTATCTCTTGTGTATTTATTAGATATATTTACGGTAAATATATGAAATCTATCATAAATACGAAATGGGCTCATAAAAAAATAAGAAAAATCGAAACCAGTAATAACCCATGAATTTTGACTTAACATGTAATAATTTTTTAAATTGTCCGTTTATCAATTAGAAAAAATATATGACATTCTTTTAGTATCTGTTAATGCTAAAAAAAATATGTTTTTACTCACCCTCTTCTGGAACTTTTCGATTACTGCTTTCAACCTAAAAATAAAACAAAAACATATGGTAGATAAAAATCACGACTATCAGTCAAATTTGAAAAGAAACATCAAATTTGCAATATTTCAAATAGAAAATTAATTAAAAAATATATTTGTTTTTGGCTGAACAAAGAACGTCGATTTTAAAAATTAAAAATATACTACACATATATTTACAGGTATACTTATAGATTCCGTTCTTATAAATCCCCATCAATATATAACATTTTAATCCAGTTTTTAGCGAGTTAAGAAAAGTTTCGTTCAATTAAAGTAAACTAGACCGAAAACGAGGAAACTGCAAAAACGCACAATATTTACGAGCTCTAAATTCAAATGTAAATTAAGCAAATGCAAGTTTCCGCCGGTATTTAAATAAGACATTAAAGGAGAAAAATGTTTAAAAACTTGCAAGATAAACATTCGAAAAAAGAGAATCCTTAGCATTAAGCCGTTTAATTCTACCTAATTTTTCAAACAAGCGAAGCGGCCGTTTTCGTTGCATTTTTGTTTGTTTTCTGAGCGAAGCCATTCAGTTAATTAAGGAAAAAGAGACACGCCGGGAATATTTGACCGAATGGCATTCGTATAACGCTATTAAACAAACGAAATCACTTGACAGTTCACTCAGTTATTTCACCAACCAAATTGTAAACCATCACAATTATTAGTAAAAAGATCTGAAACATAATTCATTGAAACTTCAATGGTTTGGCATTATCTTGCGGAAAGAACTTCATCATCATCAACATACGGTCGTCAATCCTATGACTAGTTAAATTAAGCATATTAATCATATTCAAAATTAACAAAGTCTCAGTTACTTATATCAAAGTAACTTAATGCATAATTCGTTGAGATAAATTCGCAACTTCAATGTTCGCCATCAGCGCGGAATTTCCGCTGCGATAGGCGTCATGATGTAGTTGCGATTCCGCTGAGACGTGTAGGAACCGAAATCTTGTGAATCGACCACTACACATGAGCCTGCGATAGTATGCAATGTCACAGGTGGATAACAACGAAACCGCTGACCGCAACGATATCGTTAATGGCGTGTGATATCTTCCATGTCGTCCGTGTACTGTTTTGGTGTACCGCAACGGGATCGATGCGGAATTGCAACGCTATAATATATTCTCCGTGCCATACTTTTCACAACAGTTAGTAGTACTCTGGCAACTTTTCCAAAACGCTATTAATTTATGCACGACTACCACCGTTAACCCCTAACTTTTTTAAATTAGTCGATTAAGTTGAGTTCGAGATCCCAGCCTTTTTTTCTTCGTAGTCAGTCACTCTCTATTAGGAGCTGAGTAACGTCGGTTCCAGCTTTTATAACGGCGGCGCGACGGTGACGGGCGAAATCAACCGTTCGAACGCGCCGTCTTTTCACTGACTAAAACCTCCCGCTTTGAATAAATATCCTCTCAAAGAAACTATATTTAAGTATGAAAAACGAAATAACCCCACCGAGAAGCCAATTGAACTGTCTCCAAAAGCGAGAGAACGTAAATTTCTACATTAAAAGCCTCTTTGTGTGTTACCGATCAATAAACTCTTCCAAATTGATTTATTTTGTATTAAAATTTTCAGGATAAACAAACTCGCTCAACAAATTAAATGAGCCGTTAATGGGCTCGCTTGAAATAAACAATAAACAAATACTTCATGCAATTTCATTATCTATCTTAGTTAGAAGACCAACAAAACACTTGGGGCACGTCCAGGTGGGTTTAAAGTCAGACATAGTACTATTTTCCACTCTTCTACCCCCCTAACTATACGAATATGAGTAATCAAACAAATATGGAACAAAAGCCCATTATTATGCAAAAACTAGTGCACTTTATTTACATAATAAAGAACTTATATATAAATATAGTTCTGTAGCTGTGATAACAATTAGGGAAGATTTCAAGCAAAATAATTTCAAGTTTTTATTTTCAATGGTACCAAACTGTGTTAAATTCCTATATGAAAACCTAGTTTAAAACGCTAAGAGTTATCTTTTTTATATTTACACCGAGGCCAATACTAGATATTAATTAGTCAGTCCGGCCCTGCCTATGTATATCTCTTACCGGAAATGAGATCCGTCATTGTATACAATTCCTAGGAAATGTATATAATTCTTAAAATCGCCAGGAAATGAGTGAAATAAATTATATTAGATACATTTGCTAGGAAATCTATACATTTCCTAAGGCAATCGGAAATGTATTACAGGTAATAACTAAATAGATTGTAGATGTAGCTATATTCATTGGTGAAGTCATTGTTTGATTAGGGAGATTTATATCAGACTGGGGTCTCTCGAATGCTCCTGCCCGCCGGAGGCAGTCTGATATGTTAGTTGTTAAAATAATGTGACGAGGTTATCTTTGTTTCAACAAACACGATGTCCTTGTATTTTTAGTATGTTGTAGAGGTGATAATGCTAATCATTTTCATATTTATATATGTTGGGCGCGGAGATCATAATGAAGCATACTTTTCGAAGACATTATTTCAACATATCAGGGCATTAAAGAACCTCCAGTCTGTCATAAAACAATTAACCATACAATAACGTCACTAATGCATGTACATCTCCAAACCTAACCCAACCAAACAATAACGTCACCACAATGCATATACATCGGGCGATCGCACTAAAACCGCGTCAAGACAAATAACTCTGATTCTTAGTTTACTAACGTGTTATATTCATTTTATTCACAGAAAGCATTAGTTTTATAAATTTCCTAGTACAATATCGGAATTTCATACAATTCCTAGGAAATATTTTATAGATTTCCTAAACAGCCTCAGAATTTACTACAAATGGTGCAGTAAACGCCATCTGTAGCCCAATGCTACATTTTACGATTACGTATGCTCCAACAAGGTCCACCTGTGTGGATATCTACTTGCTGAAACGAATCCCGGCGTAGCTAACCTCAACGTGATAGGCACGTTACCATAATCGAATAAAATANAAATTCTGGGAAATAGAAGAAGGATCACCAGGTAAAACATTCACCTCTGAAGAACAAACATGTATTCAACATTTTCAACAACACGTCACCCGTAATCAGGATGGCCGTTATGTAGTCGCCTTGCCGTTCAATGAAAGAAAAGCAGATCTAGGTGAATCATATGCAATTGCATTAAAACGATTGTATAATCTAGAGAGAAAATTAACAAGGGATGCTGAATTAAAGGATCAATATCACGCCGTTCTTAAAGAATACTTAACTCTAGGTCATATGTCAAAGGTCACTGATGAACAAACAAAAGATTCAAGTTATTACTTTCCTCACCACGCAGTAATGAAAGAAGGTAGCTTAACTACAAAGGTCCGTGTTGTCTTTGATGGCTCAGCCAAGTCCACCACAGGCATATCATTAAATGATACCCTGATGGTGGGACCTACTATACAGAGTGATCTTTTCTCTTTGTTGCTGCGATTTCGAATACATCAAATCGTTATTACAGGTGACATTGAAAAAATGTATAGACAATTTTTAGTTCGCCCCGAAGACAGACGCTACCAACGAATTTTGTGGAGAAATGACGACAATAAAATTCAAACATATGAATTGAACACTGTTACTTTTGGAGTTGGGCCCGCACCGTTTCTCGCTATTGCTTGTTTACATCAGTTAGCTGATGATGAAGCAGCTGATTTTCCTATAGCTTCCAGAATCGTCAAGGAAGATATGTATGTGGATGACGCAATAACCGGAGCAGATACAGTAGAAGAGGCAGTCACTATAAGAGATGAGCTTATCAATCTGTTAGAACGAGGTCAATTGAAAATAAGACAATGGGCTTCTAATGATCCTAATTTACTAAAGGATCTGCCTAAAGAAAGTATTAACCCCCATCTTCAAATTGGGCAATCGTCTACAATTAAAACATTAGGCGTTTCGTGGGATTCAACATCTGATAGTATTATATATAAAGTACGAGCATGTAATTTGAGTGACCGTGTTACCAAGCGCCAAATACTATCTCAAACAGCCAGCATTTTTGACCCACTTGGTCTTTTATCACCAGTGATTATAGTAGCGAAAATTCTAATACAGAGGCTATGGTCACTTAAGCTAGATTGGGATGAAACGTTACCGATGGATCTTCACTGTAAATGGGTCCAATATTATAATCAACTTCCTGCGCTCAATAACCTTTCCTTTAAAAGGAAAACTATCATTAGCAACGCTCGCTCAATTCAACTACATGGTTTTTGCGACGCTAGTGAAAGTGCATATGGGGCTTGCATGTACTTAAGATCTGTTGATTGGGACAATAAGGTGTACACCGAATTATTATGCGCTAAATCAAAGGTTGCGCCACTTAAAAGGCTGACAATTCCGAAGCTGGAATTATGTGGGGCTGCATTACTTACTAAATTATATAACATCGTAAAGGACGCCATTCCTTGTAAGTTAGATAGCGTATACTTTTGGACGGATTCGATGATCGTCTTACATTGGCTTCGAACTCCATCAAAAAGACTTTTACCTTTTGTTTCAAACAGATGTTCAAATATCCAGGCAAATACCAATATAAATGATTGGTACCATGTACGGACACACGACAACCCGGCTGATCTTGCTTCAAGGGGCTTGCTACCTGCGGAGTTCGTGCGTCCTTCCCTTTGGCAGCATGGCCCAGAATGGCTGAATACAAACTGTAATTGGCCCATAAATGAAATAACACCTATTACAGAGTTACCTGAGTTACGCAAGGTATCATGTTTTCTAACAAAACCAAATGATCCTGCCGATAATTATTTATGGTCGATTTTTACTCGCTTCTCATCATTTAATAAACTTATAAGGGTTATAGCATATTGTTTACGTTGCAAACGACCACGCCGTACGGGTCCACTTACATTAACGGAACTTCGGACATCTCATGACGTAATAATCAAACTGACTCAACAGTTATTCTTTTCAACTGAAGCATCTCAACTACAACAAGCCAAGGAAATTCACCGAAATAGTAAACTGA